TCTTAGTTTCCCTTCGTCTACTGGTCTTCCGTTACAGCCTGGCTCACCGCTGCCTGCTCCTTCTCCTTACACTGAGCAGGCAGGGGGTCTTATTGAGCGTCGTGTGCCTGCGTCGCGTCCTATCTCGCCTGTCCGTTCTGGTCGTTCCGCTCGTAGTGTTCCTCGTCCGCGTCAGCACCCACCTTGTAGTCCTTCCTCTCCTCCACAGCGTGTTCCTCTGCCGTCTCCTCCTGCGTCTTCTCTGCCTACCGTTCCAGAGCCTGAGTCTGACCACGCCCGTACTGCTCACCCTACTGTCACGCGTCTGCTAGCCACAGTTGTCACTGACCCGTCGTTTGAGTCTTCTGGTGCGTCTGCCTTAGTCGCTGAGCTTGTTGACTTTGCTGCTGCCTGTCGTCTAGACTACGCCGCTAGTCTTGTTGCTGAGTCTGAGTCTGTCTGTCCTCCGTCCGTCGGTCCTCCGTCCGTCGGGGGTGAGTGTGCTCTTGGCATGGACGTCCTTGAGGACAGGGAGGAGGACCTTGAGTGTTTTGCAGCCGCTGCGCCTCATCTCGTGTCCATGCTGCTTGCCCCCGAGGGAGACCCGGATGCTCCAGACATCCCGACCCCGCGCTCTTACGCTGAGGCGATCGCGGGTGAGTACTCCTCTCAGTGGCAGACAGCCATGGACGCAGAGATGGCATCCTCGAAGTCCACAGGCACCTACGTCGACGAGGTTCCCCCTCCTGCGGCGAACATCGTCAGTGGCATGTGGATTTTCAGGGTGAAGCGGCCGCCAGGTTCTCCGCCTGTCTTCAAGGCTCGTTACTTTGCTCGAGGTTTCAGTCAGCGAGAGGGAGTTGACTTCTTCCAGACCTTCTCCCCCACCCCGAAGATGACCACTCTTCGGGTGCTGCTGCACGTTGCCGCTCAGCGTGACTACGAGCTTCACTCTCTTGACTTCAGAACAGCTTTCTTACACGGTAGCCTGCACGAGGAGATCTGGCTGCGCCGCCCTCCTGGCTTCACTGGGTCCTTCCCTCCTGGTACCCAGTGGAGCCTCCGGCGGCCGGTCTACGGTCTCCGCCAGGCGCCACGTGAGTGGCACGACACACTGAGGACTACACTTGCGGCTCTTGGGTTCGCGCCTTCTACTGCTGACCCGTCGCTGTTTCTGCGCACTGACACTTCGCTGCCGCCGTTCTACATCCTCGTGTACGTCGACGACTTGGTCTTTGCCACTGCTGACACTGAGGCTCTCGCCCTGGTGAAGTCGGAGCTGCAGAAGAGACACACGTGCACAGACCTGGGTGAGTTGCGCAACTACCTTGGCTTGCAGATCACCCGGGACAGAGCACGGCGCACCATCACACTGACTCAGTCACACATGGTGCAGCAGGTCCTTCAGCGCTTCGACTTCACCCGGTCCTCGCCACAGCACACTCCTCTGGCTACAAGCCACTCGCTCTCAGCTCCACCTTCGGACGAGTCCGTAGAGCCGAGTGGCCCGTAACCAGAGCTAGTGGGCTGCCTCATGTACCTGATGACCTGCACTCGACCTGACCTTGCGTACCCTCTTGGCCTTCTGGCTCGCTACGTGGCTCCTGGTAGGCACCGAAAGGTGCACATGGATGCTGCTAAGAGTGTACTGCGCTACTTGTGCAGTACATCGGGCATGGGGCTCGTGCTTGGAGGGCGGAGCCCAGTTGTCCTCACTGGGCACTCGAACGCTTCTTGGGTTGAAGACCTAGCTACGCAGCGGTCGTTACAGGGTTAGACCTTCAGCCTTGGCTCTGGTTCAGTTTCCTGGCGGTCTACACGCTCGTCTTCAGTTCTTGGCTCCAGTTGTGAGGCTGAGATCTACGCCACTGCCATGGCTGCACAGGAGCTACGCTGGCTCACCTACCTGCTGACCGACTTGGGAGAGCGGCCTCGTTCTCCTCCAGTGCTGTACGTTGACAACAAGGCCGCCATTGCCTTGTGTCAGGAGCACAGACTGGAGCACAGAACGAAGCACATCGCTCTGCGTTACTTCCTTGCTCGAGAGTTGCAGCAGCGTGGTCAGCTTCGTCTTGCTTACGTGGCCACTCGGGCCAACACTGCTGATATATTCACCAAGGCACTTCCGTCTGGTGATCATCAGCGTTTTTGTACTTTGTTAGGCCTTGTGCCCACGTTTCCTCACTTGCTGTAGACTTTGCCTGTACTGTGATCTATATACATATGTTTATATATATATATACCTGCGTGCTTGCTCTACTAGGTAGAGATCACAGTGCTGCCGTTGTTTCATATATATCTCTGCATGTGAACTGGCCTTGTGGCCCTTTGCTTGTGCTCAGTGTGTGTGGTGACGTTGTGATCCACCCTGAGCTTGCTTTGCTTCTCTTGACTGGTCTTGTGACCCCTTGTTCTCCCCACTTTGCCTATGGGGGTGTGTCAATTATATGCATGTTGTATCTGGTTAGGCTGTAGTGGGGTAGCTAATGTAGGGTACAACCCCTTAGGGTTCTCATCCTTGTACCCAAACTTTCTCGGTAGTCATCCACCTACTCTAACACCCTCCCCCCCATACGGTATGTCCAGTCTAGGTGCCGCCTTTACATGGTTCCACCTTTGCTGCCTTTGCTGGCAACTTCCGGTATTTCTATTCATTCTCATGCGAACCATGTCACGCTTCCAGCCAGCCTAGCAGAACCGGTATCAGAAAGTCTGTGAAGATCTCAACCGCTCATCGTCTCCCCCACAGCGCCTGCGTCCCTTGAGCGCAGCTAAGGTTTAAGTACGCTAGCCGCATCTGCTGTTGTAGGTGCACACACGAACGTGTTCCCTGGTTTTAAAGTGTAACCCTTGTCGCACTCGCAGGAAGATTGCCAGCGCACTTTCCCACCGACTGCCGTTTTGGCCGACACGTGCCATGCCCCCGGGTAGGGACAATTAATTGAGAAGCAATGTGCACTCCTATCAGTAGCAAGCGAAGAATGCAAGGATGAGTACGAAGGCGAAAAGGCGGAATGACGCGAAGAGTCCCATACGGTTGGCAGCATCTAGACCGTCGGAGCAGAAGCGTCGGGCGGATACAGGAGCAAGGATTTAGGCCGGAACAGGTTCGTAACCGTTAGGGGCCGCACGGTTAACTTTCGCTGCAATATGGGAATGTACCCCTTTGTTCTGGCTAGCTAGGACGATTGGTTTTCCCTTTGTACTGCTACATAAACCTGGTATGTATGTATTTGTTCTAATCATCTCTGTCATTTTAAATTCACTCTGACCTAAGGTCAATACGGTACTTCCGCTGCAACACACTCTCTCCGAACCTTCCTGAGGTGATCCTAGGTACGATCTACTTTTTGATAGCAGCACAGTATGAGAGCGACTCAGAAATCCTTCCCGCTGCCACCTCTGAAAATGTCGGCGAACTAAGGTGGCGTCCGGAGGCCACAGGATCTGCAGGTCAGACAAATCTGACCGCTGAAGCCCAACACAACCCAGTTGCGACAAACGAGGCAACGACGACGACCAATACCGTCACACTCCAACAACTGCTTCAGCGACTTTCAACTTTGGAGCAAGGGCTCCAGACATTGCAGAATGGCGACGCGGGAAACTCCTCCCAACCCTCTCAACCGGCCGCGAATTGCCGTGATAACACCCTGCACACCTCCTCTTCCGAAACAAAATTATCAACAACCAAAGTCCCTCGTCCCAACGATGATGCAATTATCTCAGCTCAATCAAGGTTTCTGCACATATAAAAAATAAAGACGAGCACCTGATTTGACGACATAGATTTCTATGTGTTGAGCTTCGAACTGGAGCTGCTGCTGCGGAATGCGCAGATATGACTGGCGATGACTGGCAAAGATTTCCATGACTGGCGCTGCTCGGGCGTGATGATTACAAGCACCACAACACGTGGTACCTCGACAGCTACTGCGGGTAGCACATGGTGCGCTCTGCGCGTTTCATATTCAACGCCGTCCCGACTCCCACTGTTGTGTATATCACTGTGGCTAACAACGACCGCTTGCGTGCAAGCGCGCAAGGCATTGCCTTTCTCGAGGCGCATGGGAGCAACACGAACGACACGCGGAATGACGTGCTTGTCATGCAAAATTTGAGGTTCAACTTCCTGTCAGCATCGCTACTCACGGATTGCAGGGTGCAACTCAGCACTGATCCCAATCACGCGATATCATTCTGTACTACGCGGCGCCTGACAGACAGGCAAGCAGATCAGACAAGCACACTTCGAGAACGGCGTGTACGTGCTCGATTTCGACATCCCCGACTGCAGCAGCGACTCGGATGAGTTAATCGAACTCATTCCGCTATGCTTTGAACACATCCACCGCTCCGAGTGGAGGCACCCCGACGAGAGGCCATGAGTTCCGCATCACCCACATCCGCGCAAGGTAACCTTTCACGACCCCGACCCAGATGTCATCTGTAGAGATTGCCACACGCCGACTGCATCGACGAACGTGATCGCAGGACGAGGGCTTGCCGCCATTGCCGAAGCTGAGCGTTACACACTGCCGTTGGAGCTCACATCGCGACACAATTTCGGGACTCCATAACATTCCCTCGCAGGACCCGCTTCGGAGCGACTCACAGTTTGCAGGGACACACATGACATCGCCCTCCGAACGTCCCTCGCATTGCCTTCGTGTTTCCCAACCCCGAACCTGCACCCAACCATTCGTGGTCCCGCAACCTCGGCCTAGCTAGCCTTCACTATATCTGTGCTAAGCTTCATTATTCACTCAGTTGTTGTAATCACTTATGCGTTATTGCATTCCAAGCACTCTTCTTTCACACAACTCATAGCACATCTGTAGAAACACGTTACAAAACCCCGTTTATTGAACTTCACCATAATAGAAACACGGAGGATCATGGTTCTTCTACGCTTTATGTAGTAAATGCCACAATAGACAGCACCAGCGCTCCCCCCCCTTCTCTTGGACCTCCAATGCATGGTTCACGTTTTCATTAGCCTTGCTCTCGAGCAGAGAGCTATGGCTAAGTGCAACGTGCAATAGACATACAACTGACAGCGTACACAGTCAACGGTGTGCAGAGTGAAGTGCGGTGAGGCTTTTTAGGGGTATGAATGGTCGTCTGCTAGTTGATGTGGTAGGGCTGGTACCAATGGAGAGAATTGGGGAGTGAGGAGGGGATTGGAAGGAAGAGAGGGAGGAGGAGGAGGGGGAGGAGGAGGGATGGAAGTCCATGCATGTGTATCCACGCGTCTGGAGGACCGAACGTGACTGTTGGCAATGAGACCCTGAGAATCGTGACTATGATGAAGCTGAGACGCTTGTTCTCTCCTTGCCACAGCGCGAGCTGCCTCGGCTTGCACGAGGCGAGCTGAGAAGAACGACATGAGTGAGGGAGAGGAGGAGGAGGAGGAGGAGGAGGAGGAGGAGGAGGAGGAGGAGGAGGAGGAGGACGACGACGACGACGACAAGGAGGGCGGCACTGGCAATGATTCAGCTCGAGGGAACAGATACGACGCCCTTCGGAGCATCCCAAAAGACGAAAGCGATGACGAGGATGATGATTCAGCACGAGGGAACAGATGTGATGACGTGGCAGTTGAAGGAGGAGAGATGGGCGGCGTTTGCTGTCTGGGCTTGAACGAACCAGCAGGGGGTGGGGCTACTCGCTTGGGGGTAGGTGCAACTGGGGAGGGTGTTTTCGGTGTGGGAGTTTTGGGGGTAGGTGCAACTGGGTAAGGTGTTTTTGGTGTAGGAGTTTTGGGGGAAGGTGGCTTGGGGGTGGGGGCCTTGGGCGGAGGAGGAGGGAAAGGGGGAAAGGAGACTCGCTCAGACCTGCATAGGGGAGGAGGCAAGTGGGGAATGGGAGGGATGGAAAAAAGAAATTTGCAACAATAGGAGCAGGGAGAAGCAGGAGGGAAGGGGGAAGGGAGACTCGCACATCCTCCTCAGACCTGCTCAGACCTGCTCAGACCTGCACAAGAAGATAACGGGAGGGATGTGGGGTACAGAATTTGTAGCATTGGTAGCAGGAGGGAGCAGGAGGGAACGAGACAGAGATTGACCCACTTGACTGACATTCCAGGTTACATGATTTCATTGGGGTCTCTGACACACTCGCCCGCACTGGGCTGCCAATGCGGTGTTGAGTTTTGAGACGTCTCAAAACGCTGCCAATGAATTGATGAGTGAGCAGGTGGAAGGCTTTGGAGTGAGGGAGAGGTGAGTTCTGGTCGGCTTGCAGGGGGGATTGACAGGATAGACTGGCTCCCATGCTCACTGTGCTTGTGCCTCTGACTCACTAACTCACCTTACCCGCACTGGGCTGCCATATAGTTGATGAGTGAGCAGGTGGAAGGCTTATGGGGTGAGGGAGAGGTGCTGCCGGGATCAGTAATAAGAGAAGGGCCTGGCTCCCATGCTCACTGTGCTTGTGCCTCTGACTCACTAACTCACCTTACCCGCACTGGGCTGCCATATAGTTGATGATGAGCCAACACGTGTAATGCTTCGGTGTGAGGTGAGGTGAGGTGAGGTGAGGTGAGGTGAGGTGAGGTGAGGTGAGGTGAGGTGAGGTGAGGTGGGGTGGGGTGGGGTGGGGTGAGGTGAAGTGTGGCAAGGTGGGCCGTGGGCAACATTCCTGGTCACAGTGATCCCTGTAACCCACTCACCTGCACTGGGCTGCCATGGAGTTGATTCACCGGCGGGAGTGAAAGGAATGACTGACTCACATGCTCACTGCGCTTGCGACGCTGCTGACTCCAACACTCACCCGCACTGGGCTGCCATAGAGTTGATAAGCCAGCGGGTGTAGGGCTTTGGGGTGACGGAGGTCCATCCTCGCACCTGCAAAGATTGGCATGGGGAAGGGATAAAAATAGAATAAAAAGGAGTTGAAAGGAGTTTCGGGTTTAGGTGCCTTGCAACAAGCTAGAGGGCTTTGGGGTGACGGAGGCCTATCCCTGCAGCTGGGGAGAGATTGGAGTGGAGGGTGAGAATAATGGGGGTTGGGGGTGGGTTGTTGGGGCGCCTCACAAAAGGCATAAAGGCGTTAGAGTGAGAGAGGCCCATCCCTCCCTGCACCTGGGGAGAGATAGGAGTGGGGAATGAGGGAAAAGGAGTTTCGGGTATAGGTGCCTTGCACCAAGCGAGAGGGCTTTGGGGCGACAAAGGCCCATCCCTGCACCTGGGGAGAGATTGGAGTGGAGGGTGACGAAAAGGGGGGTTGGGGGTGGGTTGTTGGGGCGCCTCATAAAAGGCTTAAAGGCTTTCGGGAGAGGTGCTTTCAGGCTTTCACCTGGGTAGAGGTCGGAGTGGAGGGTGACAAAAAGGGGGTGGGTGGGTTGATGAGGAGAGGGAGGCGAATTTGCGCACCCCCTCCCAGGGCTTTAAGGTGAGGGAGGCCCATCCCGGGAGAGATGGGAATGGAGGGTGAAACAAGGGGGTTGGGTGGGTTAATGAGTTGAGGGAGGTGTATTTGCGCTGCGCACCTCGGGAGATGGAAATGGGGAGTGCTGTCGAAGTCGAACAGGTGGGCTGCGGAGGCCTTATTTCCATCAATCTCTTGTTGTTTAGGACAGAGAAACAAACCCCATGCAGGTGTATTTGCGCTGCGCACCTCGGGAGATGGAAATGGGGAGTGTGTGGGCATGTGTGACACGGAAAGTTCTATGTTGTGTGTGGGCATGTGTGTGCGGTTTTATGTGTGTGGGCATGTGTGTGCGGTTTTATGTGTGTGTGCATGTGTGTGCGGTTTTATGTGTGTGTGCAAGTGTGCGTGTAAGTGTGTGCATGTGTGTGTGAAATGCTCACCTTGGGAGTGGGAAAGAGGAGGCCTGTAGTGATGCCATAAGCTGAGTTGAATTCCGTGAGAAGAGGAGGCACTTGAGTGAGAGAGGCGAGTGAGTAGGAGGAGGAGACAGAGGAGGGGGAGGAAGAGGAGAGGTGAGGGAATAGAGGTCGCACGTCTGGATCAACAGCAACAGAGCTGCCACGAAGAGAGGAGGCGGCGGAGGAGGAGGAGGATGACGAATCGATGGGAAGACGGGAGGGAGAGGAGGAAGAGGAGGAAGAGGAAGAGGGAATAGCGGCAGCAGCAGCGGCTTGAAAGAGGCTGCTGGCTCGGTTGGCAGATGGGGCGATGGCAATCCCAGAGACCAGCAGGGAGGTGCATGGAACGGATCGGCTGCAGTTGAAGAGAATGGCGTGAGTGCCATTGGCCGTGCCCTTCACGTTGATAAAGCTGATGTCTGTCACGGCCACTGCTTCTTGTCTCTCCCGGCATTTACTTGCAGAGGTGTCACAGTAAAACTGTGATGGGAGACCGGAAACGGGGGGTTGGGAGGAGAAAACAGCAGTCAGCAGCAGCTTGAAAGGGACTGCTGCGAAGGAGCTGGCACCGCACTCGACCACGCAGCGCCACACTTCACCGAACTGCACTAAATTGCAGCACACTGCACCTTTGCCGCCCTGGTACGTCTTTCATGTGTTGGCCTGTGCGGGGCGAGCATCACACTGCATCACACTGCACCGCACTGCACACCTGATCAATGATTATCGGCCACGTGATGTCAGTCACTCGAATGTGTCTCTGTAAGTCACGTTCGTTACAAGCCTGTTGCTGCCTTGATATGTCTTTCACGTGAGGGGTGTGTGAGGGAAGAGCATCACACTGTACCACACTGCACCGCAATGCATACCTGATCAATTATGATTGGCCACGTGACGTCAGTCACTCGAATATCTTTGTAAGTCACGTCGGATACAAGCCCCTTGTTGACTTTTGAGTCAACTCAAAAGCCCCTTGCCTCCCTGGCAGGTCGGACTTTCATGAGTGGAGGGAGCATCACATTGCACCACCCTGCACCGCACTGCATCACACTGCATACCTGATTGATTATTATCGGCCATGTGACGTCGGTCACCCGGATGTCCTTATAAGTCACGTTCGATACAAGCCCCTTGCCTCCCTGATATGTCTTGATTCGCAGGGCGTTGTTTGACCCCGTGAAGCTCACGTTCCTTACAAGCACGTCTGATACACACCCTGTGTCTCGGTCCTCTCCCAGACTCCCTATGCTGGCAAGGCAGAGAGAGGAAAGGATGAGAGAGGAGAGGAGAGAGCTTTGTTTGACCCCGTGAAGCTCACGTTCCTTACAAGCACTTCGAATACACACGCTGTCTCTTGGCCCTCGCCCAGGCTTCTGTCTTTTGTCTTTTGATACTGGGGAGGAGGAAGACAGGGTGGAAACATGAGAGGGGGAGAGAGCGTTGTGTGACCCGGTGAAGCTCACATTCCTTACAAGCACGTCCAACACACACGCTCTCTATTGATCCTCGCCCAGGCTGCCGATGCTGTGAGGGAGGAGCAAGGTGGAGAGCAGAGGCAGGGAAAGAAACGAAGGTTCTCCTTGGGAACTGTGAAGCTCACATTCCTTTCAAGCACATCCGACACACACGCTCTCTCTTGATCCTCGCCCAGGCTGCCGATGCTGTGAAAGGGAGGAAGAGAAAGGGAGGAGGAAACGCAATGAGGATCAGGGAAAGGAAGAGAAAGGAAGGGTGATGGAAAGGAGGGAGATAGGGTGATGGAAAGGAGGGAGATAGGGTGAGAGACGAGAGCGTGACAGAACAGACGCACGGACCATATGGCCGTTGTTGCAATAACCTCAATCCACAGCTGTTGATTCCCTGACCTCACTCCATGACCGTTGATTTCCTCACCTCACTCCGTGGCCGTTGATGCACACGAGATTCTCAACCAGCAGATTATGGCAGCCATTACCGATCGCCACATTGTCATCTCCTGATTGGCCAGGAAATTTAAAAAAAAAAAAAAAAAAAAAAAGGATGAGCGTTGGGGAAAACAGAATGAGGGTTGGGGAAAAGAGGATGAGTGTCAGGGAGATTACAGGGTAAGAGCTACATACAGCTGCTTGTGGTGGTATGTAAGTAGTCGACAGATCAGCCGCGCGATAAAAGTGTATTTCCGAGACGCCTCAGAATTTACACAGTAAGAGCTACAGCTGCTTGTGGTGGTATGTTAGTAGTCGACAGAATGTATAGTTTGGATAATACTGCACCCATCAAAACAATCATTTTTATATATTTCTTTGTCCCCGCTATAAGGAGACTCACCGCCCTGCAGATGGCTGTTCCGTATGATGCCATTCTCAATCTTGGAGAGTTGAATGCTGTCCGTGTTGGGGCTGTTGAATGGGCTGCGAGTGGTTATCCTCTCTATAAGCAATCCGTTACTGCCATACACCTTGAGGTGTGCCTTGCCTGGATTGCTGTACACAATAAAGGCACAGGGACATAAACAAACAGAGATAATCGAAAGAAGAAAGAAGAAAGAAGCGGATCAAAGAGAGAGTGAGAGAGTGGTTGTAACACGACGTCAACTCGTCAATTTCCCAACTCACCCAACTCACCCAACTCATGTAACCTTTTATTCGAAAAGTCCCAGAAACACAACCAACTAATATTCAACTGCACACCCTACATGGTGGCATTATTGCAGTGCATCAGAAACAGAAGTGCCAGCGGCTTGCTCTCCTCCCCTTGATCAAAGGTTGCTTTGAAGACATCTAAAAAACAGTGCATGAGAAGCAGCAGCCTGCAGGGCCGGCCGCTTTGCTGGCCTTGCTGAAAGCTTGCTTTTGTGACGTCTCAAAAACATTCTGCATGAGAAGCAGCAGTCTGCAGGGCTGGCCGCTTTGCTGGCCTTGCCTCGCCCAGAACCCCGAAAAAGACACAAAGGCAAGCCAGCACAGAAGAAGCAAGCTACTCACGTCATTCCAATGCTCTGCACTGTAGCGTTATCGCAGTGCATCAGAAACAGCAGCGCCGGTCGCTTGCTGCCTTTGCCCCCCCCGCGCCCAGAACCCCAACAGAGGCACGGAAGGCACCTAAAGAGACTCACGTCATTCCTATGCCCTGCACAGTGGCGTTATCGCAGTGCATTAGAAACAGCAGCACCGGTCGCTTGCTGCCTTTGCCCCCCCCGCGCCCAGAACCCCAACAGAGGCACGGAAGGCACCTAAAGAGACTCACGTCATTCCTATGCCCTGCACAGTGGCGTTATCGCAGTGCATCAGAAACAGCAGCGCCGGTCGCTTGCTCCCTTTCCCCCGCGCCCAGAACCCAGCCCCCCGCCCGTCCATCCACCCGCCGCCCGTGACCGCCAGGTTGGGCACCTCGCGGAAGAACAGCAGCGCCCATGCGTTGCTCTTGCGCGGCTTGGGGTAGGATGTCACGTTGGCTGGCCCAACAATTCCCCCGTTTACCTGTTGTGGGGAGAGGGAGGGAGCAGAGAGGAACAAGGGAGGGTGGAGCGCACAGGTTGGGCACCTCGCGGAAGAATAGAACAGAAGACTCCACGCGTTGCTCTTGCTCGGCTTGGGGTAGGAGGTCACGTTGGCTGGCCCGACAATGCCTCCATTGATCTGATGTGTGTGAGAGGAGGGGAGAGGAACAAAGGAGGGTTGGGAACTTCCCTGAAAAACAACAGCCCACGCGTTGCTCTTGCGGGGTAGGAGGTCACATTGGCTGGCCCGACAATGCCGTCGTTGATCTGATGTGTGGAGAGGAGGGGGAAGTGGGGAGTGGGAGGGAGGGAGGGTTGGGGAGTGGGAGGTAAGGGGAGGCGGGGCTTGGGATAAGGAAGGTCACGTTGGCTGGCCCGGCAGTGCCGCCGTTGATCTGATGTGTGAGGGAAGGAGCAGAGAGGAACAAGGGAGGGGAGAACGCACACAGGTTGGGCACCTCTCTGAAACGTAATAGCCCTCACGCGTTGCTCTTGCGCGGCTCGGGTAAGGTCACGCTGGCAACACCGGCAGTGCCACCGTTGATCTGATGTGTGACGGAGGGAGCAGAGAGGAACAAGGGAACGGGGAACGTCAGACTGGGAACCTCTCTTGAAACTAATAGCCCCCACGCGTTTCCCATTCGAATCTCACCTGAATCTCATCTGAATCTCACCTGAATCTCACCTGAACCTTCCTGAATCCCACCTGAATCCCACCTGAAGCCCACATCAATCCCACCTGAATCTCACCTGAATCCCACCTGAATCTCACCTGCACCTCCGGTTCCCCCCCGCACGGCCCCTCCAGCTAGGCGGGGAAGATCTGAAACATCCCGCTGCAAAATACCATCCTATCCCACCGCGCGCACCTCCACACCACTATGCACCCATCCTTTCACCCCTTTCCACACCTTTCCACCCACCTGCACCTCCAAGCCAGCGCCGCACGGCCCCTCCAGGTCGACGGGGAAGGTTTGGAACAGCCCGCTCGCGGGGACCACCACGCGCGCGTACGCGCTCCGCGCCTTCCCCCACGCGCACGCCGTCCGCAGAGCGCGCCGAAACGCGTCCGTGTTGTCCGTGCGCCCATCCGCGCGCGCCCCGAACTGCAGCACGTTGAAGATTCCCTGCCCGTTGATTGGCCACGGTTGGAAGAACGGCGGAGGCGGCGCAGGCGCGACTGGCGGAGGTTTGACTGGGGGAGGCTTGACTGGGGGAGGCTTGACTGGGGGAGGCTTGACTGGCGGAGGTTTGACTGGCGGAGACTTCGCGATCGGGGGGTGCAGGACTGGGGGGGCCAGGCTCGGAGGAGCCGGCGTAATCTGGCGCGGATCCCGAGGCTGCATGAAAGCGAACGTAGAGACCAGGTTCGGACCAGACGAGAGGCTCGGCGCGGAAACGCGCGGATCCGTGGCGGAAAGAGCGCGGCGATCAGGGGAAGCTTCTTTGTCATCGGCTGCTGATGGAACGTCACGAGGAACGGCTAGCCGGCTGGATAGACGGAGTCGCTGATGTGTGCTGCCAAGGCGTTGTCGCACCTGATTCGTGTAGGTGGGATCTGCGGAAGACGACAAAATCGCCGCATTCGCAACATGACTGCGGCTCGAATCTTCGATATCCGCCTTATAGGGCGTAACGGTATGAAGCCTACCATCTGCTGAGCTGGCAGTGGCGAGTGCGGATAAGAGGAGAATCACAAACGGCACAACCATCTTAGAAAATGCGAATGGAATGTAACCAGGTGAAGGAGTCGCTTATTGAGGCGCGATGAGATACAGCTCTTAAAAAATGTCGTACTAAGTGAAACCGTCTCAGCGGAGTAACAACAAGATTTGCAGTCTAATATATCATCAGTTCAGATTGATACTGGATTTGCTACGCTCTTCGTAAACTGGCTCGCCTAAGCGTTCGCTCGGACCTCCGTCTGCTTTACTGAAACTCTTCACGATCAAAAGCGCATTCGATCCGAACCGGAATGCCATTAAGCACAGTTCGGAGCGCGTGGGCATCGCTTGTGATGGACAACGCTGAATCACGTGGTCACAAGTAGTTAATCTCCACCCCAGGGGCTCAGAAGCATGGGCATGATGCTCATCCGAGGCAAAAGGGGCGTTCTAGGTTCGGAATAGGTTCGAGGGAATTGCTTGCTCTGCCCGAACCTGCCTTGGTTACAACCGGACCCAGGCTGGGTTCACTCAACGCGCTCCGGAGTGATGACGGTCGACTTTGGTGCATTACGTTATTGAAGGGTGCATTTTTCACAGACCAATTTTTCCAAAGCTGGGAGTGAGCTGAGTGTGTGCCGAGCCGAGCCAAGCACAACCTCCATCCCAACTGCCACAAGCGTGGACCCATAGGTGTGGGAGGGAACTGTAACCGTACAGAATCGAGTTTTCAAGCCCGACCGTCAAAGTTTGAATTCCCGGCTGGTCAAGCCCAAGGTGGTTGATACCCCACACTCGACACATCGCCAAACGTAAACAGTCTCCCAGCCAATACATAAATCTTCATGAGAGCAAATATTAACGGGTGTTTTTTTTTCGATGAAAAAACAAGGAAATCCACAAGAAAAATGAAAATTAGATAATGTGGTAACCCGAAATGTTCTCTTATCTACTTACCTCAGCCGTGCGAGTCGACGAGAAGATCAGCACTCGGTCTAGACATTGTACGCGTAATCAGGTGTATTTTGCAGGGAACAGCATCAGCCCAGGGCATCTGCGCCGAACCGAACCGAACCCAGGAACTGGATACGTACGTGGGTTGGAAAAGCTCGCGAGCCGATGTGTTGAAAATGGCCGTGTAGTGTATCGAGACAGATCCGAGGCGCGTTATGCCTACCGCATAACCTGAAATTACGCTCGGGATGTACCACCTTCGCTTCTGGTCTGTTGACCATCCCTCGAACTCGATTCTGCTCCAAACGCGATAAGATTTCTGTAACGAGGGATTACAACATATGGTACAACGATAGTCTCTAGGATGCGTGCAAAAGTGTCTTATTGTAAGGAAAATTCCTTTTCCTTACTTCGCGTCCCCGCTCAGCGCGTACTCCACTGTAGCACCACAGTCAGCACCGTTACCACTCGCAACCCTCGCATCGACAATCCTCCCGCCACCTTCGCACGTCGCACCCCGACCTCACGGCTCGGCGGGTAACTCGCGCTCCGGGCCTCCGCTTCGACATTTTCCCCAACCTCAGTCCCAGGCCCGTCGCGCAACAACCACAGTCCATTACCGTTACCACTGTAGTTTCGCTATATATTCTTCGCTCATGCCTTCGCTCATTGTATTCTTGCTTCGATAGTGCAATTCTCGTTCGTTCACTCAATTGCACTCGTAACACTTATCTTATATCAGTCGAGTTTGATTCATAACGGGATTTTAGACGCGAACCTGCCAACCAGCCTCCAGGCCTATGAGTTTAGGTTGTAACGGGGCCTACTGGCGAGGTTCGAGGCTAGGAAGATGTAGCTTCGCGCCAGGCTTGACGCTGCTCTGTAGGGCCCCGACCGAAGGAACAGCTGGCTCACACCCCCACTGCTTGAGGAGACGATCATTCACTGTTTTCTTCCCAGCCTCGCTGTCATCCACTTCAGCTGTCAGTCGTCCGACGCTGAAAAACATGACGTGGCAAATCAATCCCATGGCGTAGGCGCAGCATAGCACCAGAAGCCGAGAGACTTGAACTTCACCCACCACAGCATCGTGACTCGATTCGCAGGCTTGAAATTGTTTGCTGAGATGAAATGTAGGATCATTTAATTCAGCGAGGTATGTTTGTGCTGCTCCGCCGCTCTTCCCTGCCATGCCATTACATGACTTCACGCAACCATTTGACTTCGACGACCTGTTTGTTTCTGAACTGAACGATTCACTAATGTAGGCACAACTCACTGCCACGGCAGACAGGTACGTGCTTCTACTAAGACACTCCTGAGAGTTCGACGACGGGCCCAGCACAGAGACCGAGTGATCGTCGTTGGGAGTGCGCTTGCTCGTGTGACATGTCCGCACAAACAATTATTTTTAGGTCGCGATGTCACTTCTTGGTGCACTCGCAGTTTTGCAAAATTCCAATTGAGGCACCTTCCAGACGCGAAGATCTACTAGATTATCTTCCTCTCGCTTTTCACACACCTTTCGCCATAGCGTGACGTCTCCAACGCAATGTCGCCACCCATCATTAGTAGGAGTAACCAGAAGAGTCTTCCCGCCCTCCTTCTCCTATCTCTCCTCATCGCTCCATCCAATCACTTCACTACTAACTCATACAGCAAAGGCCTTCCTAGCAGCTCCCCTTTTCTTTGCGAAGCCGTCAAGATCTACAAGCCGGATCAATCTATACTCCTCGTACTGAAATCCCGCTGGCCCCACTTTCTATACGCAAACTCGTGGATAGCAGGCGCGGACTGCTCTGATAATGGGTTAGGGTTGGCTTGGGAGGGAATCGCATGCGACCAGGGGTCCGGTGCCGTCACGGGCCTCGACTTGACCGGCGCGCTGATCAAAGGCAAGATCCCACCCGCGATTGGAAATCTAACGGCCCTCACCAGCGTGGATTTACGTTTCAACACGCTTAGGGGACAGCTCCCATGATCCATAGGCCGGCTAAGCCGCCTGCAGGAGCTCACGATCAGCGACAACGGTCCCGGCATGCGCGAAAACATTCCGGCCACTCTCTCGCGTTTGACGAACCTCGTTCTTCTGGACCTGTCATACAACCGTTTCTCGGGTCCCATCCCGCGGTTTATCCTCAATGGGACGCTTAAGAAATTGGAGGCGTTGGAACTCTCGAGAAATCGACTCACGGGAAGCATTCCGGGAGAGAAGCTTGGCAGCCTTTCGGCTCTGTACTATTTCAGTGTTGGCGACGACGGCCTGACCGGTAGCATTCCAACGGAGATTGGCAAGCTGAGGGCGCTTGAGTACCTGAACATTCGGAATAACCGGCTCGAAGGAACGCTGCCGTCAAGTCTGACGGCGTGTACCGGCCTAAGGACGCTGGCGGCTGGGACGAACCGCTTGGGGGGTCCCCTTCCCGTGAACACTCTGTTACGACTCCCGAAGTTGAGTGATCTTTCGCTCGAGCGTAACGGGTTCATCGTTACGTCGCTAGCGCCTCTCGCAAACCTTTCGCTAAGAGACATCGACCTGAGCCACAACAAGGTCGCTTGGCGTATTCTCGCAACCCTCGGGCAGATGAAAAATATTCACTACCTGAATTTTGCGGGAAACAAGCTGACTGGACCCGTTCCCTCGTATCTTCTAGCCAATCAGCCAGATCTGCATGGGCTCGACCTGTCTTTCAACAGGCTCTCGGGAAGCTTTCCGTGGACTGCAGTGCGAGGCGCGCCGGAATTAGTGTGGTTGGATATACAGAATAACATGCTTTCGGGCACAATTCTGGATGATTCGTTCATAGGGCTCCGAATGTCCTCTATGAATATCTAGAATAACTTCTTCGCGGGCAGATTGCCCGATTTCAAGTCGCCAATAAGGGAATTCGAGCTCGGCGTGCATAGCAATTTCTTCTCGGGCAGTCCCGAGATAAGGGCGTGGGGCCAATGAGCCTGTCTAATCGAAGGGGTGACGGGTCCCACCGACGAGTTGATGTACCTCACCGTAGCTCGTAACTGCCTTTCGGGGGTGCCTTATTGCAACGTTAAGCCATCGCAACGCAGGCCTGCTTCGTGCGCGGCTTTCTGCGGTGCGAATGGCAAACTCGGGGCGTGTGGAGGGCATGGCACGCGTCCACCTAAACTAGTGGGTGGGAAGGTTCGCTGGCGGTTTTCCTGCGAGTGCAACAAGGGCTACGCTTTGAAGCCAGGGAATCGGTTCTTGTGTGTGCCAACAGCAGCAGCCCGCGCAGCCAAAGTACTGAAACCCTAGCGGCGCTAACGGGCATGCGTAGTGGAGGAGACGATGAGAGGTTGAGATCACTGGCTCTTGATACTCGTTGTGCTCTGCTGGAAGTGTCACATGGCTCAGTACGAGAGTGGATCGAAAAAGAAAACCTTCGAGGGTTTTGCTAGGTGAGGCAGCGGAACCTTGTAGGCAGATAACATCTGCACAGGGAATCTGACATGGATGTGGGAACAGTTCCGTAGGCTCGGCGGAGTATAACCATGTTGTTTCTGTGGAATACATGGTGCAGTGTGGATTTGGTAATATCGGATACTGTTGTGTCGAATTTTTGCTCCAACACAAAGCTACCTTCACGCCACCTAATCTACCTCACAGTGACTCCCCAGAGCGCGCTAATGACATGGGGGACAACTGTGGGCCTCCTGCATGTGCGGCGAACCTCCTGCTGATGTCAGCAGCTGGGTAACCGTCGTCACCC